GAGAGAGAGGTGCGTATATATAGAGATAGAGATAGAGATAGAGAGAGAGAGAGATAGATTAATAGAGAGAGAGAAAGAGATAGATAGATAGATAGAGAGAGAGAGAGAGAGAGAGAGAGAGGGAGAGAGAGATTTATAGATATATATGATCCTTGAGCATTTAATCGCAGGAAAATCTGTGATTGATCGATGCCTGTGTGAAATCTCTCACGTTTGTCTGCTTGTTTGGCATGTTATGTGTGTAGCTGGCATGTGTTTTTGTTATTATTATTATTATTATTGTTGTTGTTGTTGTTGTTGTTGTTGTTGTTGTTGTTGTTGTTGTTGTTGTTGTTGTTGTTGTTGTTGTTGTTGTTGTTGTTATTAATATTATTATTATTATTATTATTATTATTATCATTATTATTATTATTATTATTATTATTATTATTATTATTATTACTATTATTATTATTATTATTATTATTATTATTATTATTATTATTATCATTATGATTATTTATTTATTTATTTGTTCGTTTTTTTGGTGACATTTTTGTTGTAGGTTCGTTGGTTTTATCATTATTAGTGATATGGCGAGATAATATATTTTTCGTTGAATAAACGGCAAGGTAAGGCATTTATCAAAATAACAAGAACACGAATTAAATAAAAGATAAAAAGAAAAATTCAGAATCACTCATTTGATAAATCTTTCACCATTAATCAACCACCGAGGGGGACAAAAGTCTGCGGTATCCACACTCCACATTTGACTTCGCCGATAAAAGGGGCCTGGCGCGACCCAAAAGCCACACGGGGAAAGGAAGCCATTTTTCACCCCCGGAGCCACGCCAGACACGTCGATATTATCCACGGGTGATATTGATAGCAAAATCTAAGATGAATGTTCTACTGGAAGATCCCGGTTCTTTGCAAATGTGGGCAGAAGTGAAGGGGAAAGACTGGAAATGTTTCTGGTAAAAGACGGTAGTATTTCATGGCGTTTGGACGTTTATTTTCCGTGGTTGGGTCTTAAGCCGTATTCATGTTAAGTAAATGCGGATGTAGATTTTCACAATGAATTTCATTATGATTTTTTTCGATAAACAGTTAAGAAGAGTAAAAAAAATCAGTTATATAACATCATAGTTATAATACACACACACACACACATATTTATATATATATATATATATATATATATATATATATATATATATATATATATATATTCACACACAGAAATCTTCCATAGCTTTCGTGCTAATGTTTACTCCTTTTTAAAAGCTTATTATGAAATTTACTTACTTTATAATTGGCATGTTGCTTCGTCTGGATTCAAACCAGCAATAAACAAAGGAATAAGTAAGACAAGCAATTAGATATATAGATATATAAGCAAATTATTTATAAAAAGATGAACATAAAAGATGAATAACGTAAATAAGTTGATAAATTAATGAAATACACGAAATCGACGAAGGAAAGATAAATCAGATAAATATAATGAAAAAACTAAATAAAAAGAAATAAATGCGAATGAAATATATGAAATAGCCAAGTGTAATAAAGAGAAACTGGACTGAATGAATAAAGGAAGGAGAGAAATATATATAATGGATAAATAGACATAATAATAGATAATTAGAATAATCACATAAGGTAAAATAAATCAAACGATTTAAACAGAATGAATAAGTGAAATAAAAAAAATAAATAAATAAACAAAACTAACAAATGAAAATGTAAATAGAAGACAAACAATAATAATAATGATAATAATAATAATAATAATAATAATAATAATAATAATAATAATGATAATAATAATAATGATAACAATAATAATAATAATAATAATAATAATAATGATAATAATAATAATAATAATAATAATAATAATAATAATAATAATAATAATAATAATAATAATAATAATAATAATAATAATAATAATAATAATAACAAACGAAATTAAATTCATAAATACAAAAAACTAAATTTCCTCAAACGACACCCATACACCATCCCAACAGTAAACAAGAAACAGTAAACATGAACTACGGTTATTCGCAATGCAATTACCTTTATTGCAATTACTGTAATATCTCTCCTTTGCAATAAGATTAGAGTCTTTCTGTAAGGATTTTTTATGTTTTCTTAACATGGAAGGGCTTAGACCAACCCCCCCCGCCACCCCTACCCCACCCCCCCTTCGCTATTAACATTATTATTTTTGTGAGCTGTTTTTCTTTTCTTTTTTTGTATTCTGTTTATTTGTCTTTTTGTTTATTTGTTTGATTTTATCTTTCTGGTGTGTTTGTTTTTTCTTCATTTATTTATCTATTTTGTTTATATTGTGTTCGTCTGTCTTGGGTGTTCCTTTTTTCTTTATCTGTCAATCTATCTATCGATCTATTTGTCTATCTATCTATCTATCTCTCTATCTATCTATCTATCTAGATAGATAGATGGATATGTGTGTGTGTGTGTGTGTGTGTGTGTGTGTGTGTGTGTG